TTTCTTGTGTTTTACTAGGAATGGACTCCATGCTGGAGCTGCATACTCCAGGATTGGTCTCACATAAGTTGTATTATGAATGATTCGTTACACAAGATTCTAAAGGCAGTTACTATGTTGGCAAATGTTGCATACGCAACTAATGATATCCTTTTGAAGTGGGCTTTTGGGGACAGGTTCGGTGTGATACAGTGTGTGTGAGTGCGTGTGTGTGAGTGCTTATGAGTGAGTGCGTGTGTGTGAATGCGTGTGAGTGCGCGTGTGTTTGTGTGAGGCAGTGTCCTGGGCTTCCAGGTTCCCACCAACCAGTTGCTGGCCAGCTCTGGGGAGGGACGGCAGCGCCCCGCTCCTTCTCCCCTCTGTCCTCCCGGCCGACCCTGGCCTCTGCCTCCCCTCAGGCTCGCGTCTGCTTTCATATCTGTTCTCGGTGTCGCGATAAGAAACTAAATAAACTCTGCAGTTCCTTTATAACAGTTGTTTTAGCGAGTGTGGTACAGGTGTTGGGAACACGTGAAGCCCACGCTTGGGCAGCTGCAAACACACCTCTTAAAGAGGGTATGCTGGCATCTGCGCCCCCAGCTGACTCCCGGAACCCGCTGGCCGGCGCCACTGTTCGCCTCTCACAGTGCTAGTGAGTCCAGCTCACTAGCTCTCTCTTGTGCATCTGTACTGTGTTGGCGAGGTTGATCTGACGCCCCCCTACATCTGTACAGTGTTGGCGAGGTTGATCTGACGCCCCCCTACATCTGTACAGTGTTGGGGAGGTTGATATGACGCCCCCCTACATCTGTACAGTGTTGGCGAGGTTGATCTGACGCCCCCTACATCTGTACAGTGTTGGGGAGGTTGATCTGACGCCCCCCTACATCTGTACAGTGTTGGGGAGGTTGATCTGACGCCCCCCTACATCTGTACTGTGTTGGGGAGGTTGATCTGACGCCCCCCTACATCTGTACTGTGTTGGGGAGGTTGATCTGACGCCCCCCTACATCTGTACTGTGTTGGGGAGGTTGATCTGACGCCCCCCTACATCTGTACAGTGTTGGCGAGGTTGATCTGACGCCTCTCTACATCTGTACAGTGTTGGGGAGGTTGATCTGACGCCCCCCTACATCTGTACTGTGTTGGGGAGGTTGATCTGACGCCCCCCTACATCTGTACTGTGTTGGGGAGGTTGATCTGACGCCCCCCTACATCTGTACTGTGTTGGGGAGGTTGATCTGACGCCCCCCTACATCTGTACTGTGTTGGCGAGGTTGATCTGACGCCCCCCTACATCTGTACAGTGTTGGCGAGGTTGATCTGACGCCTCTCTACATCTGTACAGTGTTGGGGAGGTTGATCTGACGCCCCCCTACATCTGTACAGTGTTGGCGAGGTTGATCTGACGCCTCTCTACATCTGTACAGTGTTGGGGAGGTTGATCTGACGCCCCCCTACATCTGTACAGTGTTGGGGAGGTTGATCTGACGCCCCCCTACATCTGTACAGTGTTGGGGAGGTTGATCTGACGCCCCCCTACATCTGTACACTAGGAAACCAGACCTTATAAGTCATAATGGGCGAGAAAAGTAATTGACTACACTTACAGGACACAGTTACATGCACCCAACAGTATCACAACAACTAAGGCACTCTAACTATTAAGAATTATTGTCAAACTATTTATGAGTATGACAACACATTTATTGATTTTTAAGTCGTTTTTATATAACTTTTGTGTAAACTATAGTGACAAGTTAGCTGTGACACGCTGGATAAACCAGTGTAAACCAAGACTGCCAAATGCGATTGACTGAACAGTAAACTCGTACACAGTGCGGCAAATTAATGATCTTAAGAACATCAACGGAGAAACAGGTCATATGTTTGTCAGTGATGACCACCCGATCTGCTCCTGTGTATAAGAGGGAGCTGCCACGGGCTCCCAGACCCCGAGTGGTCAACATTTTAAAATAAAACATTAATTGATAAAGCCGCGTAGGCTACTGGAGGTCCCCTGAGGTCATCATCAGTCTTCTATCAACTCTTCATCAGATCGCCACAAGCCCACACACTCAGACCCCCACAAGCCCACACCCCCAGACCCCCACAAGCCCACACCCCCAGACCTCTACAAGCCCACTCCCTCAGACCTCTACAAGCCCACACCCTCAGACCCCCACACCCTCAGACCCCCACAAGCCCACACCCTCAGACCCCCACAAGCCCACACCCTCAGACCCCCACAAGCCCACACTCTCAGACCCCCACAAGCCCACGCACTCAGTTCACCACAAGCCCACACCCTCAGACCACTACAAGCCCACACCCTCAGACTACCACAAGCCCACACCCTCAGACCACCACAAGCCCACACCCTCAGACCCCCACAAGCCCACAGCCTACCCTCAGACCCCCACAAGCCCACCCTCAGACACCCCACAAGCCCACACCCTCAGACCCCCCACAAGCCCACACCCTCAGACCCCCACAAGCCCACACACTCAGTCAGACCCCCACAAGCCCACACCCTCAGACCCCCCACAAGCCCACACCCTCAGACCCCCACAAGCCCACGCACTCAGTTCACCACAAGCCCACACCCTCAGACCACTACAAGCCCACACCCTCAGACTACCACAAGCCCACAGCCTCAGACCCCCACAAGCCCACGCACTCAGACCACCACAAGCCCACACCCCTCAGACCACTACAAGCCCACACCCTCAGACCACCACAAACCCACACCCTCAGACCACCACAAGCCCACACCCTCAGACCCCCACAAGCCCACACCCTCAGACCACTACAAGCCCACACCTTCAGACCACCACAAGCCCACACCCTCAGACTCCCACAAGCCCACACCCTCAGACCACTACAAGCCCCCACCCTCAGACCCCCACAAGCCCACACCCTCAGACCACCACAAGCCCACACCCTCAGACACCCACAAGCCCACTTTCATAAACGCCCACAAGCCCACACCCTCAGACCCCCACAAGCCCACATCCTCATACCCCCACAAGCCCACACCCTCAGACCCCCACACCCTCAGACCCCCACTAGCTCACACCCTCAGACCCCCACAAGCCCACACCCTCAGACCACCGCAAACCCACACCCTCAGACCACCACAAGCCCACACCCTCAGACCCCCACAAGCCCACACCCTCAGACCACTACAAGCCCACACCCTCAGACCACCACAAGCCCACACCCTCAGACCCCCACAAGCCCACAGCCTCAGACCCCCACACGCCCACACCCTCAGACCCCCCCACAAGCCCACACCCTCAGACCCCCACAAGCCCACGCACTCAGTTCACCACAAGCCCACACCCTCAGACCACTACAAGCCCACACCCTCAGACTACCACAAGCCCACACCCTCAGACCACCACAAGCCCACACCCTCAGACCCCCACAAGCCCACAGCCTCAGACCCCCACAAGCCCACGCACTCAGACAACCACAAGCCCACACCCTCAGACTACCACAAGCCCACAGCCTCAGACCCCCACAAGCCCACGCACTCAGACCACCACAAGCCCACACCCCTCAGACCACTACAAGCCCACACCCTCAGACCACCACAAACCCACACCCTCAGACCACCACAAGCCCACACCCTCAGACCCCCCACAAGCCCACACCCTCAGACCACTACAAGCCCACACCTTCAGACCACCACAAGCCCACACCCTCAGACCCCCACAAGCCCACACCCTCAGACCACTACAAGCCCACACCCTCAGACCACTACAAGCCCCCACCCTGAGACCCCCACAAGCCCACACCCTCAGACCACCACAAGCCCACACCCTCAGACACCCACAAGCCCACTTTCATAAACGCCCACAAGCCCACACCCTCAGACCCCCACAAGCCCACATCCTCAAACCCCCACAAGCACACACCCTCAGACGCCCACAAGTCCACACCCTCAGACCACTACAAGCCCACACCCTCAGACCTCCACAAGCCCACACCCACAGACCACTACAAGCCCACACCCTCAGACCACCACACAATCAGACCACCACACCCTCAGACCCCAACAAGCCCACATCCTCAAACCTCCACAAGCCCACACCCTCAGACCCCCACAAGCCCACATCCTCAAACCCCCACAAGCCCACACCCTCAGACCACTACAAGCCCACACCCTCAGACAACCACACCCTAAGACCACCACAAGCCCACACCCTCAGACCACTACAAGCCCACACCCTCAGACAACCACACCCTCAGACCTCCACAAGCCCACACCCTCAGACCACTACAAGCCCACACCCTCAGACAACCACACCCTCAGACCACCACACCCTCAGACCACCACACCCTCAGACCACCACACCCTCAGACCACCACACCCTCAGACCACTACAAGCCCACACCCTCAGACCCCAACAAGCCCACATCCTCAAACCTCCACAAGCCCACACCCTCAGACCCCCACAAGTCCACATCCTCAAACCCCCACAAGCCCACACCCTCAGACCACCACAAGCCCACATCCTCAAACCCCCACAAGCCTACACCCTCAGACCCCCACAAGCCCACATCCTCAAACCCCCACAAGCCTACACCCTCAGACCCCCACAAGCCCACACCCTCAGACCTCCACAAGCCCACACCCTCAGACAACTACAAGCCCACACCCTCAGACCACTACAAGCCCACACCCTCAGACCTCCACAAGCTCACACCCTCAGACCCCACAAGCCCATACCCTCAGACCACCACTAGCCCACACCCTCAGACTACCACAAGCCCACACCCTCAGATCACTACAAGCCCACACCCTCAGACTACCACAAGCCCACACCCTCAGACCCCCACAAGCCCACATCCTCAAACCCCCACAAGCCCACACCCTCAGACCACCACAAGCGCACACCCTCAGACCACCACAAGCCCACACCCTCAGACCACCACAAGCACACACACCCTCAGACCCCCACACGCCCACACCCTCAGACCCCCACACGCCCACACCCTCAGACCACCACAAGCCCACGCCCTCAGACCACCACACGCCCACACCCTCAGACCCCCACAAGCCCACACCCTCAGACCCCCACACGCCCACAGCATGCGTGAGTGGTGACGGGGGGGAGCTAGGATGGGAAGCGTGAACTAGGAGTGGTGGTGGTGGGCCGGAGTCCAGGAATAATTAAGAAGGCCACCGGAGGCGCCATGGAACCCAGGTGAGTCCTCGCCTTGTACCTACACTGTCTCTCACCTCTCTACCTTGTACCTACACTGTCTCTCACCTCTCTACCTTGTTCCTACACTGTCTCTCACCTCTCTACCTTGTACCTACACTGTCTCTCACCTCTCTACCTTGTACCTACACTGTCTCTCACCTCTCTACCGTGTACCTACACTGTCTCTCACCTCTCTACCTTGTACCTACACTGTCTCTCACCTCTCTACCTTGTACCTACACTGTCTCTCACCTCTCTACCGTGTACCTACACAGTCTCTCACCTCTCTACCGTGTACTTACACTGTCTCTCACCTCTCTACCTTGTACCTACACTGTCTCTCACCTCTCTACCTTGTACCTACACTGTCTCTCACCTCTCTACCTTGTACCTACACTGTCTCTCACCTCTCTACCGTGTACCTACACTGTCTCTCACCTCTCTACCTTGTACCTACACTGTCTCTCACCTCTCTACCTTGTTCCTACACTGTCTCTCACCTCTCTACCTTGTACTACACTGTCTCTCACCTCTCTACCTTGTACCTACACTGTCTCTCACCTCTCTACCTTGTACTACACTGTCTCTCACCTCTCTACCTTGTTCCTACACTGTCTCTCACCTCTCTACCTTGTACTACACTGTCTCTCACCTCTCTACCTTGTACCTACACTGTCTCTCACCTCTCTACCTTGTACCTACACTGTCTCTCACCTCTCTACCTTGTTCCTACACTGTCTCTCACCTCTCAACCGTGTACCTACACTGTCTCTCACCTCTCTACCTTGTACCTACACTGTCTCTCACCTCTCTACCGTGTACCTACACTGTCTCTCACCTCTCTACCGTGTACCTACACTGTCTCTCACCTCTCTACCGTGTACCTACACTGTCTCTCACCTCTCTACCTTGTACCTACACTGTCTCTCACCTCTCTACCGTATACCTACACTGTCTCTCATCTCTCTACCGTATACCTACACTGTCTCTCATCTCTCTACCTTTTACCTACACTGTCTCTCATCTCTCTACCTTGTACCTACACTGTCTCTCACCTCTCTACCTTGTACCTACACTGTCTCTCACCTCTCTACCTTGTACCTACACTGTTTCTCCCCTCTCTACCTTGTACCTACACTGTCTCTCACCTCTCTACCTTGTACCTACACTGTCTCTCACCTCTGTACCTTGTACCTACACTGTCTCTCACCTCTCTACCTTGTACCTACACTGTCTCTCACCTCTCTACCTTGTACCTACACTGTCTCTCACCTCTCTACCTTGTACCTACACTGTCTCTCACCTCCCTACCGTGTACCTACACTGTCTCTCACCTCCCTACCGTGTACCTACACTGTCTCTCACCTCTCTACCTTGTACCTACACTGTCTCTCACCTCCCTACCGTATACCTACACTGTCTCTCACCTCTCTACCTTGTACCTACACTGTCTCTCACCTCTCTACCTTGTACCTACACTGTCTCTCACCTCTCTACCGTGTACCTACACTGTCTCTCACCTCTCTACCTTGTACCTACACTGTCTCTCACCTCTCTACCTTGTACCTACACTGTCTCTCACCTCTCTACCTTGTACCTACACTGTCTCTCACCTCTCTACCGTGTACCTACACTGTCTCTCACCTCTCTACCTTGTACCTACACTGTCTCTCACCTCTCTACCTTGTAACTACACTGTCTCTCACCTCTCTACCTTGTACCTACACTGTCTCTCACCTCTCTACCTTGTACCTACAATGTCTCTCACCTCCCTACCTTGTACCTACACTCTCTCTCACATCTCTACCTTGTACCTACACTGTCTCTCACGTCCCTACCGTGTACCTACACTGCCTCCCTTAGTGCTGCTACGTCTACACCCGAGGTGTTGACCATCACAGCTCTCACCATCACCACCATATGGAACATCACCATGAACATATTTACTGCTTCTCTAACATCAGTTACCACATCAGCAGAACCCTCAGTGTAGTCCTCGTCAGGATAGGTCATGGTTCTTGTATATGATGATGAGTAACCCCCACGACCTCACTCTACCATGTTAAGGATACAATGACTAGACTTTCTTATATAATAAGTGTAATAATATATAGTTCACCACTGGAGGTATGATGACTGTTTCTGGAGGTTATATGTATAGTGAGATATAATAATTATAGTTATTATGTCGCACTGCACATTATATAGGGAGATAGATTAGACTAAAACCTATTTTTCCCCTAAATTTCAGGGAAATTGTCCCTAAATTTTCAGGGAAATACTATATTTCAGGGAAATATAGCATTCCCTGTGATCTGAGAGAAATAATGGTTGGAGTAGGTAATTGGCTCTTAAGGTATTCCAGAGACAACAACACTGTGTCTGACAGTGTGTTTTCTATTCAAATTTTTTCTTTATTGTGCACCCCATACCCTTCCCGTGGGCGGTAGTGGGAAGGGTTACAGAGGCACATAATGGGCTCAGGGACTGAACCGCAGAGTTCATTTAGCTCAGCAAGTGACAATATCTTGACGCTAGTTATACACTTGTTAATGTTACAAACTTATGGCAGCTTTACAGTCATGTGCTCCACACCCACCCAACTGGGCGGCAGCTTTACAGTCATGTGCTCCACACCCACCCAACTGGGCGGCAGCTTTACAGTCATGTGCTCCACACCCACCCAACTGGGCGGCAGCTTTACAGTCATGTGCTCCACACCCACCCAACTGGGCGGCAGCTTTACAGTCATGTGCTCCACACCCACCCAACTGGACGGCAGCTTTACAGTCATGTGCTTCACACCCACCCAACTGGGCGGCAGCTTTACAGTCATGTGCTCCACACCCACCCAACTGGGCGGCAGCTTTACCAGTCATGTGCTCCACACCCACCCAACTGGGCGGCAGCTTTACAGTCATGTGCTCCACACCCACCCAACTGGACGGCAGCTTTACAGTCATGTGCTCCACACCCACCCAACTGGGCGGCAGCTTTACAGTCATGTGCAGGATGCGCCTACAGTAAGCAAACTTTGGGTACTTAGCTAAGTTTCCCGGCAGTACATCATTATGGATGAAGTACTTCCACATTTCTTGGACACCATTGATGGTGTTATCTCTGAACTCCGCGATTTTTTTCACATTCCATTATATAATGACGCAATGTATGCGAATAGTTCTGCTGACAGAGTTTACAATTAGTCCGAGTAACTACAAGTAACTCCCAAAGGTACTTGTAGCCGAGCCTAAGGTTAGCAGTGGTAACATCTAGAAGTCTGCTAACCTTATTGGATGACCCATAGACGTGCGATTCTTTTTGCATAATAGAATGATGATAGATTGAGGAACTGGTGTGAATTTCACTTTGCCTCAAGTCTACGAGATTTTGTTGATGTTCCCGGAATATTACAATTCCCTCTTTATGAGCAAAAGTCTTGGCCAACTCATCAGTTCTATCATGAATTCGGTGACCAATATGGGAAAGGATCCACAGGAGACAAAATATGACTCTATCATTGATTATTTCATTATATCTGTGTCTAGCTTCAGACACAAGCACGTCACAGTTATGCTTTAGGGAGTTGAGGGCAGTCAAAGATGACAAGGAGTCACTTACAATTTTGGAAGCTTCCCAGTTACATAGCTCATATTATACAATTCAAGCAAGGGATTCCCTGGCACTAGCAGAAACATACGCAGTATGCCGTTAGTAACTCCGTCCTCCCCGGGTGATGAAGCTCTGCCTTTAAAAAGAGTCTAGTTCGTATTCAGTAAAAAGAATGTCACAGTCCTCCTCTTTTGCCCACGCCAAATATGGTCCCTTTTCATTGATGACGGCAGAAATTATTCTTTTGCCAAGCAAAAACTGATCATTTTCAGGGGTGACAAAAGAATTCACCCTTGCCCAGACCCATTAAAACGCCTGACAACAGAACTCACCCTTGCCCAGACCCGTTAAAACGCCTGACAACAGAACTCACCCTTGCCCAGACCCATTTAAACGCCTGACAACAGAACTCACCCATGCCTAGACCCATTTAAACGCCTGACAACAGAACTCACCCTTGCCCAGACCCATTTAAACGCCTGACAACAGAACTCACCCTTGCCCAGACCCATTAAAACGCCTGACAACAGAACTCACCCTTGCCCAGACCCATTAAAACGCCTGACAACAGAACTCACCCTTGCCCAGACCCATTTAAACGCCTGACAACAGAACTCACCCATGCCTAGACCCATTTAAACGCCTGACAACAGAACTCACCCTTGCCCAGACCCGTTAAAACGCCTGACAACAGAACTGGGGGAGGGGGGAGAGGAAGGGTCCTCCCAACACCTCCCCCCACCCACCTGGCCAGGGGGTCCTCCCCCCACCCACCTGACCAGGGGGTCCTCCACACACACACCTGGCCAGGAGGTCCTCCACACACACACCTGGCCAGGGGGTCCTCCACACACACACCTGGCCAGGGGGTCCTCCACACACACACCTGGCCAGGGGGTCCTCCCCCCACCCACCTGACCAGGGGGTCCTCCACACACACACCTGGCCAGGAGGTCCTCCACACACACACCTGGCCAGGGGGTCCTCCACACACACACCTGGCCAGGGGGTCCTCCCCCCACCCACCTGACCAGGGGGTCCTCCACACACACACCTGGCCAGGGGGTCCTCCACACACACACCTGGCCAGGGGGTCCTCCACACACACACCTGGCCAGGGGGTCCTCCACACACACACCTGGCCAGGGGGTCCTCCACACACACACACCTGGCCAGGGGGTCGTCCACACACACACACCTGGCCAGGGGGTCCTCCACACACACACACCTGGCCAGGGGGTCCTCCACACACACACACCTGGCCAGGGGGTCCTCCACACACACACCTGGCCAGGGGGTCCTCCACACACACACCTGGCCAGGGGGTCCTCCACACACACACCTGGCCAGGGGGTCCACAACAGGTCTGGCGTGTTCAGTGTTCTGCTTTAAAGCTGGAGGGAAACACCCAGCGTCATCACACACTTTACCCTTCTCACTCTCACCTCACACTAGTGTGTCTCACTCTCACCTCACACTAGTGTGTCTCACTCTCACCCTCACACTAGTGTGTCTCACTCTCACCTCACACTAGTGTGTCTCACTCTCACCCTCACACTAGTGTGTCTCACTCTCACCTCACACTAGTGTGCCTCACTCTCACCCTCACACTAGTGTGTCTCACTCTCACCCTCACACTAGTGTGTCTCACTCTCACCTCACACTAGTGTGTCTCACTCTCACCCTCACACTAGTGTGTCTCACTCTCACCTCACACTATTGTGTCTCACTCTCACCTCACACTAGTGTGTCTCACTCTCACCTCACACTAGTGTGTCTCACTCTCACCTCACACTAGTGTGTCTCACTCTCACCTCACACTAGTGTGTCTCACTCTCACCTCACACTAGTGTGTCTCACTCTCATCTCACACTAGTGTGTCTCACTCTCACCCTCACACTAGGGTGTCTCACTCTCACACTAGTGTGTCTCACTCTCACCTCACACTAGGGTGTCTCACTCTCACACTAGTGTGTCTCACTCTCACCCTCACACTAGTGTGTCTCACTCTCACCCTCACACTAGTGTGTCTCATTCTCACCTCACACTAGTGTGTCTCAATCTCACCTCACACTAGTGTGTCTCACTCTCACCTCACACTAGTGTGTCTCACTCTCACCTCACACTAGTGTATCTCACTCTCACCCTCACACTAGTGTGTCTCACTCTCACCTCACACTAGGGTGTCTCACTCTCACACTAGTGTGTCTCACTCTCACCTCACACTAGTGTGTGTCTCACTCTCACCTCACACTAGTGTGTGTCTCACTCTCACCTCACACTAGTGTGTCTCACTCTCACCTCACACTAGTGTGTCTCACTCTCACCTCACACTAGTGTGTCTCACTCTCACCTCACACTAGTGTGTCTCACTCTCACCTCACACTAGTGTGTCTCACTCTCACACTAGTGTGTCTCACTCTCACCTCACACTAGGGTGTCTCACTCTCACCTCACACTAGTGTGTCTCACTCTCACTCTCACACTAGTGTGTCTCACTCTCACCTAACACTAGTGTGTCTCACTCTCACCCTCACACTAGTGTGTCTCACTCTCACCTCACACTAGTGTGTCTCACTCTCACTCTCACACTAGTGTGTCTGACTCTCACCTCACACTAGTGTGTCTCACTCTCACACTAGTGCGTCTCACTCTCACCCTCACACTAGTGTGTCTCACTCTCACCTCACACTAGTGTGTCTCACTCTCACTCTCACACTAGTGTGTCTCACTCTCACCTCACACTAGTGTGTCTCACTCTCACCTCACACTAGTGTGTCTCACTCTCACCTCACACTAGTGTGTCTCACTCTCACACTATTGCGTCTCACTCTCACCCTCACACTAGTGTGTCTCACTCTCACCTCACACTAGTGTGTCTCACTCTCACCTCACACTAGTGTGTCTCACTCTCACCCTCACACTAGCGTGTCTCACTCTCACCCTCACACTAGTGTGTCTCACTCTCACCTCACACTAGTGTCTCACTCTCACTCTCACACGAGTGTGTCTCACTCTCACACTAGTGCGTCTCACTCTCACCCTCACACTAGTGTGTCTCACCCTCACACTAGTGTGTCTCACTCTCACACTAGTGTGTTTCACTCTCACCTCACACTAGTGTCTCACTCTCACCTCACACTAGTGTGTTATTACCTTACATTTACTTGGGTTGAACTTTAGTAGCCATTTGTTGGGCCATTCTTTCAGTTTGTTTAGGTCATTTTGTAGCCTCATACTGTCGTCCTCTGCCTTAATGCTCCTTATAATTTTTGCATCATCAGCAAACATTGAGAGGGAAGAGTCTATTCTCTCTTGGAGATCAGTTACATATATCAGGAACAGTACAGGTCCAAGAACTGATCCCCGAGGGACTCTACTGGTGATGCCGCGCCACTGCGAGACCTCATCCCTCACAGTGACTCACTGTCTTCTGTTGCTTAGGTACTCCCTTATCAAGTGGAGTACCTTCCCTTTCACTCCTGCCCGCATCTCCAGGTTTGTGCAGTAGTCTCTTATGTGGTACTGTGTCAAAGGCTTTCTGGCAATCCAAAAATATGCAGTCTGCCCACCCCCTCTCTTTCTTGTCTGATTTTTGTTGCCTGGTCATAGAACTCAATTAATCCTGTGAGGCATGAACTGCCATCCCTGAACCCATGCTGATGTTGTGTCACAAAGTTCTTCAGCTTCAGATGTTCCACTAGCTTTTTTAGCGCAATCTTCTCCATCACCTCTCATGGTCTGCAAGTTAGGGACACTGGCCTGTAGGTCAGCGCCTCCTGTCTATCACCTTCTTAATTATCGGGACTACGTTAGCTGCTTTCCAAATTTTTGGCAGTTCCCTTGTTTCCAGTGATTTATTATACACCATGGAGAGTGGCAGGCACAGTGCTTCTGCTCCTTCCTTCAGTATCCAAGGAGATTCCATCCGGCCCTATAGACTCTGTCACTTCTAACTCTAGCAGATGCTTCCTCACCTCCCCCTGGTAACTACAAACTCATCTAGTGGTGTTTGGTGAGATATTCCCTTTCTTATCTCTGGGACTTCCCCTTGCTCTACTGTAAATACCTCCTGGAATTTCTTATTGAGTTCCTCGCACACTTCCCTCTCGTTTGTAGTGAATTTGTCTACCCTTATCCTCAGTTTCATTACCTGTTCCTTTACTGTTGTTTTTCTCCTGATGTGGCTGTGCAGCAATTTAGGTTGAGTCTTTGCCTTGCTTGCTATGTCATTTTCATATTGTATTTCTGCCTCTCTTCTCACCCTGACGTATTCATTCCTGGCGCTCTGGTATCTTTCTCTGCTCACTAGTGTCCTATTATTTCTATAGTTTCACCACGCCTTAGTTGCTTTGCTAGCTTACATCTCTGATTAAATCATGGGTTTTTTGCCTGCATTTAGTTTTTTTTCTTTTAAACTGGGACAAACTTGCCTGTTGCCTTCTTACACTTCTGTGTGATTTAGTCCATCATGTCTTGGGTCGTCTTTCCTCTGAGCTCTGTTTCCCAAGTTATATCTGCTAGGAATTTTCTTATCTTATCATAGTTTCCCTTTCGGAATGCCAGCTTTTTGTTTTCTGGTCCCTTCCCTGAGTACATTAACCCTTCTTTGACCAGATACTCAAACATTAGTACAATATGATCACTCATTCCCACGGGGGCTTCAAAACCGATTTCCCTTATGTCGGAGTCATTCAGAGTGAAGACTAGGTCGAGTCTCGCTGGTTCATCGTTACCATTCATTCTTGTGGGTTCCCTGACATGCTGACGTAAAACGTTTCTTGTTGCCATTTCCAACAGTTAAACTCTCCATGTTTCCTCACCTCCGTGTGTTTCCTTGTTCTCCCAGTCTATCCTTCCATGATAAGCAGATGGGATCTATTTCTACAGGCAGCAGTGGCTGCTCTCTCAATTTAGTACTGACTGCCAAGTTGTTTCTGTCAAACTCTTGCCTGGGTCTTTTGTCGTTTGGTGGAGGGTTATATATCACTGCTACTACTACTCTTGGTCCTCCCATTGTCATGGTGGCTGTTATGCAGTCTCTGAACCCCTCGTAGCCTGGAATAACCATCTCCTCGAAACTCCATTCCTTTCTTATCAGTAAGGCCACTCCGCCTCCTCCCCTTCCCTCCCTCTCTCTCTCCTTATACCCAGTATAGGGTGTATATCAACCACTGAATACATTCATGTATACCCAGTGTAGTGAGTAATCTTTCCGTTAATTAAAGCTAACTTGAATTTTATTTCTCTTTCTAGCAACGAGGATGTCGAGGATGACAAGAGGTAGGTGTGTGTGTGTGTACTCACCTAGTTGTACTCACCTAGTTGTGTTTGCGGGGGTTGAGCTATGGATCTTTGGTCCCGCCTCTCAACCGTCAATCAACAGGTGTACAGATTCCTGAGCCTATCGGGCTCTGTCATATCTACACTTGAAACTATGTATGGAGTCAGCCTCCACCACATCACCCCCTAATGCATTCCATTTGTCAACCACTCTGACACTAAAAAAGTTCTTTCTAATATCTCTGTGGCTCATTTGAGCGCTCAGTTTCCACCTGTGTCCCCTTGTGCGTGTGCCCCTTGTGTTAAATAGCCTGTCTTTATCTACCCAATCAATTCCCTTCAGAATCTTGAATGTGGTGATCATGTCCCCCCTAACTCTTCTGTCTTCCAGCGAAGTGAGGTTTAATTCCCGTAGTCTCTCCTCGTAGCTCATACCTCTCAGCTCGGGTACTAGTCTGGTGGCAAATCTTTGAACCTTTTCCAGTTTAGTCTTATCCTTGACGAGATATGGACTCCATGCTGGGGCTGCATACTCCAGGATTGGCCTGACATATGTGGTATACAAAGTTCTGAATGATTCTTTACACAAATTACTGAATGCCGTTCGTATGTTGGCCAGCCTGGCATATGCCGCTGATGTTATCCTCTTGATATGTGCTGCAGGAGACAGGTCTGGCGTGATATCAACTCCCAAGTCTTTTTCTTTCTCTGACTCCTGAAGAATTTCCTCTCCCAGATAATACCTTGTATTTGGCCTCCTGCTCCCTGCACCTATCTTCATTATATTACATTTGGTTGGGTTAAACTCTAACAACCACTTGTTCGACCATTCCTGCAGTTTGTCTAGGTCTTCTTGAAGCCTCAAACAGTCCTCTTCTGTCTTAATCCTTCTCATAATTTTGGCATCGTCTGCAAACATTGAGAGAAATGAATCTATACCCTCCGGGAGATCATTTACATATATCAGAAACAAGATAGGACCGAGTACAGAGCCCTGTGGGACTCCACTGGTGACTTCACGCCAATCAGAGGTCTCACCCCTTTCCGTAACTCTCTGCTTCCTATTGCTTAGGTACTCCCTTATCCACTGGAGCACCTTACCAGCTACACCTGCCTGTCTCTCCAGCTTATGTACCAGCCTCTTATGCGGTACTGTGTCAAAGGCTTTCCGACAATCCAAGAAAATGCAGTCCGCCCAGCCCTATCTTTCTTGCTTAATCTGTGTTACCTGGTCATAGAATTCTATTAAGCCAGTCAGGCAAGATTTACCTTCCCTGAACCCATGTTGTCGATTTGTCACGACAACATTGTGTGTGTGTGTGTGTGTGTGTGTGTGTGTGTGTGTGTGTGTGTGTGTGTGTGTGTGTGTGTGTGTGTGTGTGTGTGTGTGTGTGTGTGTGTGTGTGTGTGTGTGTACTCACCTAGTTGTACTCACCTAGTTGTGTTTGCGGGGGTTGAGCTCTGGCTCTTTGGTCCCGCCTCTCAACCGTCAATCAACAGGTGTACAGATTCATGAGCCTATCGGGCTCTGTCATATCTACACTTGAAACTGTGTATGGAGTCAGCCTCCACCACATCACTTCCTAGTGCATTCCATTTGTCAACCACTCTGACACTAAAAAAGTTCTTTCTAATATCTCTGTGGCTCATTTGGGCACTCAGTTTCCACCTGTGTCCCCTTGTGCGTGTTCCCCTTGTGTTAAATAGACTGTCTTTATCTACCCTATCAATCCCCTTCAGAATCTTGAATGTGGTGATCATGTCCCCCCTAACTCTTCTGTCTTCCAGCGAAGTGAGGTTTAATTCCCGTAGTCTCTCCTCGTAGCTCATACCTCTCAGCTCGGGTACTAGTCTGGTGGCAAACCTTTGAACCTTTTCCAGTTTAGTCTTATCCTTGACTAGATATGGACTCCATGCTGGGGCTGCATACTCCAGGATTGGCCTGACATATGTGGTATACAAAGTTCTGAATGATTCTTTACACAAGTTTCTGAATGCCGTTCGTATGTTGGCCAGCCTGGCATATGCCGCTGATGTTATCCGCTTGATATGTGCTGCAGGAGACAGGTCTGGCGTGATATCAACCCCCAAGTCTTTTTCCTTCTCTGACTCCTGAAGAATTTCCTCTCCCAGATGATACCTTGTATCTGGCCTCCTGCTCCCTACACCTATCTTCATTACATTACATTTGGTTGGGTTAAACTCTAACAACCATTTGTTCGACCATTCCTTCAGCTTGTCTAGGTCTTCTTGAAGCCTCAAACAGTCCTCTTCTGTTTTAATCCTTCTCATAATTTTAGCATCGTCCGCAAACATTGAGAGAAATGAATCGATACCCTCCGGGAGATCATTTACATATATCAGAAACAAGATAGGACCGAGTACAGAGCCCTGTGGGACTCCACTGGTGACTTCACGCCAATCGGAGGTCTCACCCCTCACCGTAACTCTCTGCTTCCTATTGCTTAGATACTCCCTTATCCACTGGAGCACCTTACCAGCTACACCTGCCTGTCTCTCCAGCTTATGTACCAGCCTCTTATGCGGTACTGTGTCAAAGGCTTTCCGACAATCCAAGAAAATGCAGTCCGCCCAGCCCTCTCTTTCTTGCTTAATCTGTGTCACCTTTCTTGCTTAATCTGTGTGTGTGTGTGTGTGTGTGAGTGTGTGTGTGTGTGGGTGTGTGTGTGAGTGTGTGTGTGTGTGGGGGGGGGGGTTGGGTGGGTGTGTGTGTGGGTGTGTGTGTGTGTTGGTGTGTGTGTGTGTGGGGGGGGGGGTTGGGTGGGTGTGTGTGTGGGTGTGTGTGTGTGTTGTGTGTGTGTGTGTGTGTGTGTGTGTGTGTGTGTGTGTGTGTGTGTGTGTGTGTGTGTGTGTGTGTGTGTGTGTGTGTGTGTGTGTGTGTGTACTCACCTAGTTGTACTCACCTAGTTGTGTTTGCGGGGGTTGAGCTCTGGCTCTTTGGTCCCGCCTCTCAACCGTCAATCAACAGGTGTACAGATTCATGAGCCTATCGGGCTCTGTCATATCTACACCTGAAACTGTGTATGGAGTCAGCCTCCACCACATCACTTCCTAATGCATTCCATTTGTCAACCACTCTGACACTAAAAAAGTTCTTTCTAATATCTCTGTGGCTCATTTGGGCACTCAGTTTCCACCTGTGTCCCCTTGTGCGTGTTCCCCTTGTGTTAAATAGACTGTCTTTATCTACCCTATCAATCCCCTTCAGAATCTTGAATGTGGTGATCATGTCCCCCCTAACTCTTCTGTCTTCCAGCGAAGTGAGGTTTAATTCCCGTAGTCTCTCCTCGTAGCTCATACCTCTCAGCTCGGGTACTAGTCTGGTGGCAAACCTTTGAACCTTTTCCAGTTTAGTCTTATCCTTGACTAGATATGGACTCCATGCTGGGGCTGCATACTCCAGGATTGGCCTGACATATGTGGTATACAAAGTTCTGAATGATTCTTTACACAAGTTTCTGAATGCCGTTCGTATGTTGGCCAGCCTGGCATATGCCGCTGATGTTATCCGCTTGATATGTGCTGCAGGAGACAGGTCTGGCGTGATATCAACCCCCAAGTCTTTTTCCTTCTCTGACTCCTGAAGAATTTCCTCTCCCAGATGATACCTTGTATCTGGCCTCCTGCTCGCTACACCTATCTTCATTACATTACATTTGGTTGGGTTAAACTCTAACAACCATTTGTTCGACCATTCCTTCAGCTTGTCTAGGTCTTCTTGAAGCCTCAAACAGTCCTCTTCTGTTTTAATCCTTCTCATAATTTTAGCATCGTCCGCAAACATTGAGAGAAATGAATTGATACCCTCCGGGAGATCATTTACATATATCAGAAACAAGATAGGACCGAGTACAGAGCCCTGTGGGACTCCACTGGTGACTTCACGCCAATCGGAGGTCTCACCCCTCACCGTAACTCTCTGCTTCCTATTGCTTAGATACTCCCTTGTCCATTGGAGCACCTTACCAGCTACACCTGCCTGTCTCTCCAGCTTATGTACCAGCCTCTTATGCGGTACTGTGTCAAAGGCTTTCCGACAATCCAAGAAAATGCAGTCCGCCCAGCCCTCTCTTTCTTGCTTAATCTGTGTCACCTGATCGTAGAATTCTATCAAGCCTGTAAGGCAAGATTTACCCTCCCTGAATCCATGTTGGCGATTTGTCACGAATCGCAGATACTTCCTTATACTCCTGTGTGTGTGTGTGTGTGTGTGTGTTTACTATCACAACTAGGGAGGTCCTCCCGAACAAGGGCCCGCCAATTTATCAGTGTGACATACATAAGAACAACGACCATAACACAAGCAGAGCGGACACGCTAAGGTTTTACGCCTCAGGATATCTATTATTCTTTCAGACTTTCATGTGCTATAAAGTTACCAAGATTTTCAAAATTTTGGCTACTAATTTTTAAAGGTTTTCCATCACATAGAAGGAGTAAATCTTGTTCTCTCTCTCTGCATCCCATCCCACATTTCCCTTATTCACTCAGGATGCAGAGCAACCTTCGTGCAAGCCCTCGTTCAGTTCCCCAACGTTCAAGCTATTGGACATAACAAATTTCACTAAACGAGGCTGGATCTTAGTTGCCTCTCTAATTATACAGATTTTAATCTTCAATCATTTGAGTGCTAAGAGCAACTCTCGTGCAGGCCCGCGTTCAGTTCCCGACGTTCAAGCTTTTTGGCTATAGTAAATTTCTCTAAATGAGGTTATATCTTGCCCTGACCAACTGTTTGGCTCAATTGTAACCCATCCAGCTGCAGTCCGCTGGATAGAGGGGCAGTGGGCCTGATATAATAAAATAAAAACATATCAATTGTTAGACTAGTTCTTTACACATGCCAGTTGTTTAATTTAGAAACTGCTGCTAATGGGATGATGTTCGAGTACCTCTGTAATGGGATGATGTTCGAGTACCTCTGTAATGGGATGATGTGCGAGTACCTCTGTAATGGGATGATGTGCGAGTACCTCTGT